AGATTATGTTCTTCTCTCTCGGCACAAGCAACAGATATCTTCTCCTTAAACCCCTGTAGACCCTCCGTTTCCAGCGTTTCATCTTCGTCGATGTCGAGCCCCTTCCATACGTCCTCTACAACCTTGACCCATTCCGTGGGTTGTCTACCCCTCTTTTTGTTTGCCCACTTCGCCTCCCATACAATTCTCGGCAACCTCTCCTCTCCCATCCCGCACATGCGATACTGCCAGGTCAGCTTCCTCGCGTCTCTTCCCGACCGTAGGGATTGGATCCCCAATTCTGCCCTCACGGCTGCATTACTTGTGCGCCTGGAGCATCCTAGGATGGTTTTCGCTGCTTTCATCTGCGCCGCCTCGAGTTCTTTCAATACCTTCTTTTTTCCTTCCCATACTTGTCTGGCGTACTCTAGCGGCGGTACGATGACGCTCTTCAAAACCGTCAATTTGATGCGTGTATCGAGGTGCCGGTTTGCGAGTNGTTTTGCGAGTATTGGGTGCAGCTTCCCTGCTCGTGCTTTGCCCTTTTCCGCTACCTTGGACATGTGTGCATTCCACGAGCAGTCATTTGCGATCTCTACTCCGAGGTGTGTGTACTGGTCCGCGGGGGGTCCGGGGCGTGAAAATTTCGGTCAGCTGAAGGGGTTCCGGGATATGAAAACATTTTTTCGTGAAAGGGGGGTCCGGGGTGTGAAAAATTCGGTCAGCTGAAGGGGTTCCGGGGTATGAAAACATTTTTTCGTGAAAGGGGGGTCCGGGGTGTGAAAATGTTTGGTGAGAGTGAGGGTTCCGGGGAGTGAAAAGGTTTGGTCAGGGAGGGCGGCGCGACATTTGGGCGCTCAACGAGATCGCTCAGGAGTCTAAGTCGCAAGGGCCACCACGTTGGGAGGCATGTCTTGGAGGGGGTGTTCTCAAGCTTGGCATCGCTTTCGCGAGGATTGTACTACCTATTCATGAAAACGAGGGGGGGGGGGGGGCGGNGGGGGGGGGGGGGGGGTCGTATCCCTTACCCTAACCCACACCACCCGAAACCCCTACTAAAGCCAAGCTTTATATCCTCGCGAAAGCTGCTGCCAAGCCTGGCTTCGAGCCAGGCGGAGCCTGGGTTAGTAGCGGGATCCGGCATGCAGCAGTTAGTTGGTCGGGAGTCGGAAGGGTAGATACCGCGAGCGCCCCCGTTGTCCAGCATTTCGCGGCTTATTTCTCGCTATCCTCTGCGGTCGATTCGATGCGGAAACTAACTACGAGAGAACGCAAACCATATGCGTACCGCGCACGGCGAACAGCAATCTATCGACGCCCCAGTAGAAGGGATTAGTGTTTTCCGGAGGCGTTACTCCAGAGTCTAGCGCTGTTGGACTCTTGCAGCAGTCACGGGAGCTGTGAGGGTCATGGCGATTACAATAATAATCGTTTGAGGAGCTGGAGCACCCCATCTACGAGGCAAACAATAGACAAAAAGTACACAATGTTGATTCTCGCGTCCCGGACCCAGCTGGCCCTCAAGCGAAAAAAGCCGTGCTGACAGCAGTACGGCTAGACAGTTTGGTTGTAGCGCGTATAATATGTATGCGTGGCTCAATAGCAGATGGCCCACATCGTACATCGCGGTGGGAGAATGGGCGGGATGTGTGGAATGGTTCGAGCGTGGTGTGGTGGCCCAAACAAGCAACCATTGGTGGGGCGGCTGCCTTTGTTTCGTTCCTCCTCACTTTTCGGACCCCCTCCCTGCATCTCAGGTTCACGGTCTGGTAGTCCATCACGAAGAGGATCATCCCCCTCGAGTCGTCGACCAGGGGCCACCCGCCTGCCACCCCCGGTACCGCCGCCCCTTCTCCGCTGCTGCTGCACCTCCCGCCGACGCAGCTGCCCCCCGCGTTCACCGCCTCGAAGAGGCTGGCGTAATCTCCCTGGACCATGCTCGGGGTGACAAGTCGTTCCGGTGGGAATGCCTCCAGTACTGTGTCCTGGAGGCTTCGGAACGCGGCGCGGTCTTGATCCGGGGTGTGATCTCCGCATATCTGGGGTAACAATATACCGGCGGAGTTTTTTTTGCTATCAAGGCGTGTTGCAAGTGATGGGGGGGGGGGGGGTCCC